TTTCCTGAGCGTACCTCGGGAGTGGGGGAGGGCCCTCGCCTTGCCCACGCGCCCTGCCCATGCGATCTGCCCACGCAAACTGCCGCCCCACGCCCTTCTGACGCCCCACGCCCTGTTTGCCTGCCCTGTTTGCCGCGCTCCGGGTCACTCGCGCTCCCTGGGGCTGCTTTTATACGTCAGGAGGGTCAGGCCGCCGTCACCCATGACTCCACCCCTCGTTAGGAGCTGGCTCTGAGATTTGGGGGGGGTGTGGGGGTGGGGTGCCCTCTCCCTCCCTGCGCTTTTGACTTCACAGTTCTGCCACTTTTAGGAAAGGGCCCCCCGGTTTGATCCTCTGCTCTGGAGCCCTTCGCCTCAGTGTCTTTGCCGAAATCTTACTTCCTTTAAACGTTGATAACTGTTCCTCACCTTCCCAGGCAGGGCTCAGTGCCCAGGCACGGCCCTGTCATGCAGGGCTTGTACAGCTGAGCTCAGAGGGTTCTCTGCAATCCAAATAGCGTGTTTCAATCCATTGCCTCCTGTGCTCCTGCCTTGCACCACTGTGTCTTCTTGGAAACCTCACCGTAGGCACTAGAAGTCTGTTACATCCTCCCCAGCAAATCCCAGCTCCCTCAGCCCCTCCTAACAAAGCAAGTGCTCCAGCCCTGACCATCTCTGTGGCTCTCCACTGAATCTTTGTTGCCCTCTGGCTTGCCAATGTCTCTCTGGCACTGTGAGGCACCAAAACCCAGGCAAGGATTACGGATGTGGTGTAACAAGTGCTGAGCAGAGGGAGATAATCCCTTCCCCTGGATGTGCTCCTGCTCAGACAGCCCAGGAGGTTCTTGACCATCTTTGCTGATGGCTCATGTTTTGCCTAAGGTAACCCAAAGACCAGCAGACCCTTTCCTGTGGAGCTGACATCTGTCTGGGCAGTCCCTGCTCTATGCCATTTCAGAGCCTACATCCACTTTAGGAGTAGGATTTGGCTTGAATCTTCACTGGGTATCATGAGGCCCTTATTGGCCCATGCTCCAGCCTAAGTCCTTTGGGACAGCAACCCAGCCCTCCAGCCCTGCCCTGCTCTCCTGGATGGGATGTCTTCTAATAAACATTATGGATAAGTACTTTCGCATCTCTTCCAGGTCATTAAAAAGATATTAAGCAAGGTGGGTTGAAGGACAGACCCCTGCAGGACCCAACTAGCTAGATACCTCCAGACCGAGCACCACGCGTGTGCCACACTCCACCAAGCCCAGCTATCCAGCTGCTTTATTACTCAAGTACTTAACCTCCCATGCAGCCCATACTATCCTAACTCGGAGGCAGGAAATGTATGGAGGGATGATGCTGACAACCTGGATGACTTCCAGGTAGAAGATCATCACTGCTCTCCCTGCATCCAGCAATTGCATCCTTTCATTACAGCAAATCAAAGATGGCCAGGAAGAACGTATGCAGTTCTCTTAGAGAAACACAGAAATGGATTCTGAGGGAACATGGTCTGCGGCACAGCCTTCCATTCCCGTCTCATCGTTTGGGCATTTTTGAAAGATGCATGCAAGTGTGGCTGCTAACAGTCGTCATGGAGTCCCCACAGTCTCCATGACCTTTCAGAGGTGATGGAGAGTGGCTTCACTGTGACATTGGCCTGCTCACTCAGCTCCCTGGGGTGCTGCCCCTCCCATCCCACAGACTGGTAAGGATTGTGGTTGCTCAAGTGACCCGTGACTTGATCCCCATCAACAACAGGTTGATCTCCTCCAGAGTCCTGCCCCGAGTCACAGAGGCCTGGGAGACCTTGCTGGGAGAGACTGAGGCAAAGAGGACACAGACAAGCTCAGATCTATCTACACCGGCTCTCACTAAATTCAACAGTGGCCACACAGTAGCTTTGTTTCTCCCTTAACTGCTCCTGCAGTAGCACACACTCATTGTGGTGCCCTTCAATTCCCTTTCAAGGTCAGACTGAGTTTCGATCTGGATCCTTGCTGAGCTTGGAGGCTGCTGTCCTTGAAGACCAGTGGTACTGAGCTCTGCAAGCATGCCACAGTTCTGTCTCCTCAGGAATGGCTACAGCTCTTCCCGCCTGTGCCCCTGGCTGAGGGCATTGCTGCACCTTGGGGCTGAAGCCCTGCAGCTGTGGAACCAGGCAAGCTGTGACTTGCCATGAGGAACCTGGTACGAAGCATCCATGACGCTGTGTGTGCAAAAGCTTTGCTTCAGAGCAGAGACATGGCATGGCCAAAAGAGAGCTGCATGACTTTCTAGCCCTAGAACTGCAAACCCACAATGAAATGCCTACATTCACTCAACAGAACCCATCCTCCCAGCTTGGAGAAATGAGATCATTCCCTGTCACCTGCCTCATGTCCTCTCTAAAGATTGCAAAGAGATGTTCATGTCCAACTGTTTTCCTAATAATAGCAATGACACTGCAGGAAAGAAGTTGCCTCACCCCAGCTGAGAATCAGAACCAACATCAGGAATTACTTCAGCCTGTTTCACAGCAGGGTCCCCTGGAGACCCAGGGACACCTGGAGGGAGCCCCGAGGGGGCAGAGCAAGTGCTGCCTTGGGCTGGTCCTCTGCTGCTGAGCTGGGCTGGGCTCCTGGGATGGAGGGAGCTGATGGCAAGTGGGCAGCGCTGCAGAGAGACAGCTCTGCCCAGGAGCAGCTCCTCTGCAAAGTGCAGCAGGGCTGAGGGCACTGCCTGCAAGTGCAGAAGAGAGACACGTGACACAGAGCGATTGTGACACAGAGCGATTGTGACACAGAGCACTCTGGAATGGAAGGATGCTGAGAGCTCACTGGCGGAGAAATCTTGACAGCCCTTTACATAGTAAGTCTCTGGGTCCAGGACAGTGTAGCTGGTATTTCTGGAGAGATATAAAAAAGCTGGTACATCTGACCAGATATATATGACCTTTCAGGAGGATCCTCACAGTTTTTCTAGTGTAGACAAGGAGGATGTGTTGCAGAGCAGGGACTCCCTGCTGCACCATCAGAGGGAGAGGGAATGGTGACTGCCTTCTCCCAGGGAGGGCTGCAGGGTGTGAAGGTGGGTGTGCAGGCAGGGGTGCCCAGGGCTGTCCTTCCCAGTGGGGCACTGGAGAATGAGGGAGCTGTGCACTAAGGCAAGGACTCGGCCTCCTAGCAGAATTGGCACTCAGCCTAGCCAAGGAGGTCCACACAATACTATGGGCAGAAGCTGTGTGTGGAAGGAGTGACCCCTGTCAGGGCAGGATCCTCCTGATGTCCATAGGGTGCAGCATGGGTCAAAACTCCTCAGATTTCAACATCACCCAGAGGAACTGCAGATTGGTCATTTTAAAGATGGATGTCAAGGTAGGGCATTCCCTGAAAGGGTAGAAATCTGTGCTTTGAGTATTCTCCTCTTGCTTGGCTGGGTGGGCAGTGGGAGATGGGAATTTATTTTTCTGCTCTGGAGTAGGCAATGAGACCCCAGTTCTTGTTATCATTTGTCTGAGCTGCTCCTTCCCCCCTGCACACATGCAGATGTCCCTGGGCAGTGCCCTGCTGTCAGGAGGGGTCTGCAGGGCAGAGCTGAGCACACAGCAGGTGGGATGGGGACTGTGAGCATGCAGAGGGAGAA